AATCGGGCCTTGAATAGTAGGCTGAGAAGTGAGTTCTGGCTACTAGGTACGACATATATATATATATATATATATATATATATATATATATATATATATATATATATATATATATATATATATATATATATATATATATATATATATATATATATATATATATATATATATATATACATAAATTCATGAAAACTTGGGTATTAGGCAAATTGGGCCTTGCATAGTAGGCTGAGAAGTGCGTTCTGGCTACTAGGTACCGAAAAAGTTAGGTTATTGGTAAAAAAATTGACCTCATAAATAAATTGACCTCATAAAAACTGAAAATATAATAATTCAGGAAAACTTAAAACCTGAAATAATATATTTTCTCTAATTTTTTTCTTATGAAATGATAAAGCTACCCATTTCATTATGTATGAGGTCAATTTTTTTTTATTGGAGTTAAAATTAACGTAGATATATGACCGATCCTAACCAACCCTACCTAACCTAACCTACCCTATCTTTATAGGTTAGGTTAGGTTAGGTAGCCGAAAAACACGAGTTCTCTCACATTGACAGTGGCTTGATGAAAAACGCAGAGTAACCTCTCACTTGTCTAGTGCCTTCGGGAAGTGTAGATATTTGAGGTGTATATATATATCTCGAAGTCTCTACTTCTTTTGTAGGGTCTGATGGTGTAGTGGGTTAAGGCGTACTAGTTAAGGCAGCTACTGGAAGGTAGTTGTGCTTTCTGGGTTCGAGGCCCACTGGTGGGTGTTGTCCAAAGATTGTTAATCTTCACTTGTGGTTTATGCAAGTATAGGCTTATAGCATGGACACGAGTTCTCTCACATTGATAGTGGCTTGATGAAAAACGCAGATTAACCTCACACTTGTCTAGTGCCCTCGGGAAGTGGAGATATTTGAGGTGTATATATATCTCGAAGTCTCTACTTCTTTTGTAGGGTCTGATGGTGTAGTGGGTTAAGGCGTACTAGTTATGGCAGCTACTGGAAGGTAGTTGTGCTTTCTGGGTTCGAGGCCCACTGGTGGGTGTTGTCCAAAGATTGTATATATATATATATATATATATATATGTCGTACCTAGTAGCCAGAACGCACTTCTCAGCCTACTATGCAACGCCCGATTTGCCTAATAAGCCAGGTTTTCATGAACTAATGCTTTTTCGACTACCTAACCTACCTAACCTAACCTAACCTAACATTTTCGGCTACCTAACCTAACCTAACCTATAAAGATAGGTTAGGTTAGGTTAGGTAGGGTTGGTTAGGTTCGGTAATATATCTACGTTAATTTTAACTCCAATAAAAAAAAATTGACCTCATACATAATGAAATGGGTAGTTTTATCATTTCATAAGAAAAAAATTAGAGAAAATATATTAATTCAGGAAAACTTGGCTTATTAGGCAAATCTGGCCATGCATAGTAAGCTGAGAAGTGCGTTCTGGCTACTAGGTACGACATATATATATATATATATATATATATATATATATATATATATATATATATATATATATATATATATATATATATATATATATATATATATATATATATATATATATATATATATATATATATATATATATATATATATATATCGTACCTAGTAGCCAGAACGCACTTCTCAACCTACTATGCAAGGCCCGATTTGTCTAATAAGCCAAGTTTTCATGAATTCATATATTTTCTCTAATTTTTTTCTTTTGAAATTATAAAGCTACCCATTTCATTATCTATGAGGTCAATTTTTTTTATTGGAGTTAAAATTAATGTAGATATATGACCGAACCTAACCAACCCTACCTAACCTAACCTAACCTATCTTTATTGGTTAGGTTAAGTTAGGTAGCTGAAAAAGTTAGGTTAGGTTAGGTTAGGTAGGTTAGGTAGTCGAAAAACAATTAATTCGTGAAAACTTGACTTATTAGGCAAATCGGGCCTTGCATAGTAGGCTGAGAAGTGCATTCTGGCTACTAAGCACGACATATATATATATATATATATATATATATATATGCGAACAAGCCTGAATGGTCCCCAGGACTATATGCGAATGAAAACTCACACCCCAGAAGTGACTCGAACCCATACTCCCAGAAGCAACGCAACTGGTAACTACAGGGCGCCTTAATCCGCTTGACCATCACGGCCGTCAAAAGGAAGTGATAGCCGAGGCTATTTGAGCCACTTCCCCGACGGCAACTCGGATGGTAATCTTGGGCATAGCATTTCACCAAATCACCTCATTCTTTGGGGCACACGTGAGGAACACAAATGCGAACAAGCCTGAATGGTCCCCAGGACTATATGCAAATGAAAACTCACACCCCAGAAGTGACTCGAACCCATACTCCCAGAAGCAACGCAACTGGTAACTACAGGGCGCCTTAATCCGCTTGACCATCACGGCCGTCAAAAGGAAGTGATAGCCGAGGCTATTTGAGCCACTTCCCCGACGGCAACTCGGATGGTAATCTTGGGCATAGCATTTCACCAAATCACCTCATTCTTTGGGGCACACGTGAGGAACACAAATGCGAACAAGCCTGAATGGTCCCCAGGACTATATGCGAATGAAAACTCACACCCCAGAAGTGACTCGAACCCATACTCCCAGAAGCAACGCAACTGGTAACCACAGGGCGCCTTAATCCGCTTGACCATCACGGCCGTCAAAAGGAAGTGATAGCCGAGGCTATTTGAGCCACTTCCCCGACGGCAACTCGGATGGTAATCTTGGGCATAGCATTTCACCAAATCACCTCATTCTTTGGGGCACACGTGAGGAACACAAATGCGAACAAGCCTGAATGGTCCCCAGGACTATATGCGAATGAAAATATATATATATATATATATATATATATATATATATATATATATATGTCGTACCTAATAGCCAGAACGCACTTCTCAGCCTACTATTCAAGGCCCGATTTGCCTAATAAGCCAAGTTTTCCTGAATTAATATATTTACTATAATTTTTTTCTTATGAAATGATAAAGCAACCCTTTTCTCTATGTATGAGGTCAATTTTTTTTATTGGAGTTAAAATTAACGTAGATATATGACCGAACCTAACCAACCCTACCTAACCTAACCTAACCTATATTTATAGGTAAAGTTAGGTTAGGTAGCCAAAAAAAGCTAGGTTAGGTTAGGTTAGGTAGGTTAGGTAGACGAAAAAACATTAATTCATGAAAACTTGGCTTATTAGGCAAATCGGGCCTTGAATAGTAGGCTGAGAAGTGCGTTCTGGCTATTAGGTACGACATATATATATATATATATATATATATATATATATATATATATATATATATATATATATATATATATATATATATATATATATATATATATATATAGCCAGAACGCACTTCTCAGCCTACTATGCAATGCCCGATTTGCCTAATAAGCCAAGTTTTCATGAATTAATTGTTTTTCGACTACCTAACCTACCTAACCTAACCTATCCTAACTTTTTCGGCTACCTAACCTAACCTAGCTTATAGAGACAGGTTAGGTTAGGTTAGGTAGGGTTGGTTAGGTTCGGTCATATATCTACATTAATTTTAACTCCAATAAAAAAAAATTGACCTCACACATAATGAAATGGGTAGCTTTATCATTTCATAAGAAAAACATTTGAGAAAATATATTAATTCATGAAAACTTGGCTTATTAGGCAAATCGGGCCTTGCATAGTTGGCTGAGAATTGCGTTCTGGCTACTAGGTACGACATATATATATATATATATATATATATATATATATATATATATATATATATATATATATATATATATATATATATATATATATATATGTCGTACCTAGTAGCCAGAACTCACTTCTCAGCCTACTATTCAAGGCCCGATTTGCCTAATAAGCCAAGTTTTCCTGAATTAATATATTTACTATATTTTTTTTCTTATGAAATGATAAAGCAACCCTTTTCTCTATGTATGAGGTCAATTTTTTTTTATTGGAGTTAAAATTAACGTAGATATATGACCGAACCTAACCAACCCTACCTAACCTAACCTAACCTATATTTATAGGTAAGGTTAGGTTAGGTAGCCAAAAAAAGCTAGGTTAGGTTAGGTTAGGTAGACGAAAAAACATTAATTCATGAAAACTTGGCTTATTAGGCAAATCGGGCCTTGAATAGTAGGCTGAGAAGTGCGTTCTGGCTATTAGGTACGACATATATATATATATATATATATATATATATATATATATATATATATATATATATATATATATATATATATATATATGTCGTACCTAATAGCCAGAACGCACTTCTCAGCCTACTATTCAAGGCCCGATTTGCCTAATAAGCCAAGTTTTCATGAATTAATGTTTTTTCGTCTACCTAACCTACCTAACCTAACCTAACCTAGCTTTTTTTGGCTACCTAACCTAACCTTACCTATAAATATAGGTTAGGTTAGGTTAGGTAGGGTTGGTTAGGTTCGGTCATATATCTACGTTAATTTTAACTCCAATAAAAAAAATTGACCTCATACATAGAGAAAAGGGTTGCTTTATCATTTCATAAGAAAAAAATTATAGTAAATATATTAATTCAGGAAAACTTGGCTTATTAGGCAAATCAGGCCTTGAATAGTAGGCTGAGAAGTGAGTTCTGGCTACTAGGTACGACATATATATATATATATATATATATATATATATATATATATATATATATATATATATATATATATATATATATATATATATATATTTATTTATTTATTTATTTATTTTTTTTAATATTTCATGTTATGGAATGATACAGCTTTCTATTATATTACATATGATTTTGTTTACTTTGATTTAAAACTAACATAGGAACTTTATCAAACTTAACATAACTATGTCAGTAATTCATGGTCCTAAAAAAATATAATATTATTATTGTAAGAAAAGATATATGTATTAGTGTTAGTGATGATGGTCGGCAGGATACACATGCTGGACTACGGAAACTTTGTGCCGGGGAACCTTTGGTCTTCGAGGGAGACGGTGCTGCGACTCCTTGGGGCGAAGCTCACTCTTCTGCCCAATTATGACCAGGTCATCCAGGCCTTCGACGCCGGGGCCGGAGTCCTCGAGGCCACTCAGTACTCCCACTTCCTTTTCATAACACGCAAAAGGAGCAAGAATGCCTATGTCGTCGAGGAGAAGCTTTATCCTAGCAATGTTGGATGGGTCTTCCAGAAGGGAGCTCCATATAAACATATCTTCGATAGGTGAGTCTTTATGCGGTCTCCTACTTTGTAAGCTTCCTCAAGACACTTACCACTATCAGCAACTTTTATGTTCAGGAGTATTATTGTGCAGTAACTGCATTCAAATTTATTATAAATATACCATGACGAAGGTGTAGGTATTTGTTGAGACCAATTCTATCCTCAGCCCTAGTTACTTAAGTTTTTATATATCGTATAAGAATCCCCCCCCAACCCCCCACCTATACATATCAAACTAAGGCAACAAGTCCTAAGACTTTAACAACGTGTAAATTATTGGATATGCAAAAAAAGGTCCTAAATATCACTCAGGATGACAATACATTATGTAAACAGACACTTAGCGAACTTAATCAACCGTATCTGGTTCATCAAGGATTTCATCGAAGGACAAGTGACAGACACTCATGAAAACAAAACTTACCATCATCCTCAAACCGAGATTTTCCATAGGGAGATGCGTGACTGTAAGCAGGTTAGTCTAGTTCGAAAAATTAGGAGCAGGGAGATGTTCCATTATATGTCCATGAGTTAATCACATGAAGTGATTGGAAGGCGGCTAGTGTTATGGAGTCCTGCTTGTATTCTCCCAACTCTGACTATAAAACATACTCCCCTCTCTGGGAATAACCAGAAAAGTACTAGTTTGATTTTATAACTCTTTAGAGGAGGCAAGATGCCACAATAAGAAAAAATTATGTTTAAGTTTATTTGGGAAGAGGCTTGGTATTGGCCCCACCATTAAAATGGTGGTATGTTATGACCCCATGTAGCCTGGGTGGAATGAGTCTACCCCAGTGAAAGCTATTCTGCCGTCTGGACCTGATTGAGAGGTCAGAATATATATGTATATATTAAATAACTGAGTAAATGCCAGTGAGTAATCTCAGGATACTAGCAGAGGGTGGGCGTTGGTAATAAGGGACATGAAATGAGATGTCGATACTTTGGGGAAGTGAAGTGATGCTAGAAGGTTGTGCCCTCACTTCAGTCACAACTGTCATCAGAAGTGGATGCACTTTGTTGATCTCCTGCATGAAGGAAGAATATAGTTCCCTGTGTTAGTGCTAGAGTGAAGACTACTTGTCTGCAAGTGTGAGGAAGCTGTTGGGGACATAGTGCACCATTTCTCTGTGATTTTGATAAATCAGAGACAGCCTGGAAGTGAGTGTTTGGCCACGCCTTTGTGAAACTCTAATTGTTGTGCCTTCAAGAGGAAGGAAGTAAGCAGGCGTTTCTGTTGTGAAGTCTGCCAGACGACGTTGTGAACTCAAGTCGTGGACTGGAGGAAGCCTTGTGAAGCAGTCTAAAAGCAATTTTGTGGGCGCCATGTTTGAGTTCCATTGAGTGATCGTCTTCATGTCAGAGATTTCGGCGGTAAGCCTGTTTAATCGTTTGTTAGATTAGATACTGTGACGGTGTTCCCCCCTTATATTTCTCCCACGCCAGCTGTAAGAGTCATATCCACTTTTCACGAACGTTCTCTACGTTCCGGGGAACAATTTGACATATGTGGGAGCGTGGAGTGTTCTCGCATTGGCAAGAAATTCGCAAAAGAAGAGTGTTTTGGCTTGTGCTATAGGCCCTTTAGGACGCCAATATGGCGCCGGCCCCTCCGTTTTACTGCCAAAACGGTATGACGTCAGTGGCACCAGATTGGTCAGGAACAGTGACGTGGCACAGGGAGCCAATGAGAAACGCCCCTGGCAAGTATGATGTCACGAGAGCAAGGGGGTCCGGACATCGCGCCCCAGTGGCGCCAGCAGTTTGACACGACACGTCGAGGAGGTCGGATGTGTGACCGAGGATCCTGTCAGTTTGACAGTTTACCTCACTCCGGTAGATTTTATGCGTCACCCAGCAGTCTGCAAGCACCCTGTGAGGTCTTCCTTAATTCCATGTGTTGGACCGAAGAAGGAATCGACGAGAATTGAGCAGCAAGTGCTCCAGTGACAGGCGCTTTGCAAGAGGTGAAGTCTGTGCAGTGACGTATGAGACGTCTGTGCAAGTTCACCCATTTAGTGACGACGTAGCGGCTGGGCCAATCCACCGAGAGTCATTAGAACAACGGAACTAGCTGGGAATCAGGACGACTACAGCCGAGAGAAAGGTCTGCAACCGTAGTTGTGAGAAGTCGACGGCCAGGAGACCGACTCCAACCCCTTGAAGAAGTTGTGGAGGAGCACGGGCCTGCAGAGGATAGAGCACGGTGTAGACGCGTTTTTGAGGTGTTGAAGAGGTTCCTGGAGAGAGCATCAGTGTGTGTGGGGGGGCATTCCCTACAACGAGACGAGAGCCGGGACCAGGAGCTTCATTTCAACTCTCAACAGAGGGCGAGTCCACATCAGTGAGGTGGAAGTAGGTAATTTAGTTTTCCCTCCCATTCCCCTTTAGTCAGCTATTTTAATTAGAGTCTCTTCTATGTCGTGAGCAGGCCTCACCAATGTATATGACACAGAGATCCGATTCCTTGCTTTCACTGCCTAGTCTGGTCATAACGATTTCAATGCCATGCAGCTGGGTCTAGCCCTGGCACTTTACCTCATACTGAAAACCCTTCCTCTCACCCCCACAAATTCTTCCCCTATCCCCACTTCCACGCTCACCCATTAGGGTATCTTGACCTATATTTAAATGAATGAATGAATATGACATAGTAAGGCACAGTTGTGCAGAGAGATGCTGTAGAGAGCTCTCACGAAATATGTGTGGTGTGTGAGTGCACCTGTGATTTATTGAAGAGATTGCTGTGTCAAGGACATTTATAATCATGTGACATTAATATTATCAGTTTGTGTCAGAGAATATATATATATATAAATGTACCATTTATTAGTATAAGGCTGTGTGCCCCGTATTGACTCATTATTGCTAATATTGATGAAGTGATCTATATATGCTGGAGTATTGAATAACATATTCGTGAGTACAGTGAATTATTGCATTTATTACCATTACTGTGATATTTGGTGTTTAATGCCATTACTGTAAGGTACTGTGTTAATCACCATTGAAATGATTTATTGAGCATTTAAGGCCAGTGCAGCGATTATTGCGTTTATCGCCATTATAGCAAGTTATTGTGTTGATTGCCAGTATTGTGTTTACTGTGAATTTAAAGAAATAGGCGCTTAATGCCAGGGCAACAAGTACAGAGAGAGATCATACAGCGAGGGGGCGTGGCAGTTGGGAATGACAGGAGGAGGGAGTGTTGCTGTCTTGCTGTGTTCCTGATTTATGAAGAGGGAGTGTCCATGCTGCCATGTACTTTGTCGCCTTGTTGTTGATATAGAGATATAATACTTTAATATTTTAAGTAAAATACAAAACTACCTTCGTGTTTGTATTATCCCTCTTTTGCTTGTTGCTATAGAGTCCATTGAAAGAGTGAGAGTGATAGAGACACATACCTGCCTGATACCAGATTTATTTAGTGTGCTCTTGACACAATTACCACAATACCACTGACGTGTTACTGTACACGGAGAACACCAGTTGGCGACCTTTCAGTTAGCAGTTGAGTTCTCTGTCGGGGCAGGCACACGATCAAGAGAGAAGCTTGTGTTCCCACTCGCCCTCAGGTTATGAGGCCGGTCGGAGGTAGACTGGGATACTCTCCAGGTGAACAGTGGCACCATGAAGATGGAGTGAAGACCCGCAGGGCTACAGTAAGTAACAGTTACCACTACTAGTACTTGGTAGTGACTGGTGAGAGGTAGAGAAACCCCGACTTGGCGACCTTGCCAGGATTTTAAGTACACTTACTTACTGATTTAAGAGAATCCCCGACATTGGCGACCTTGCCAGGATTCTAAGTACGGTTACTTACTGACGAAACCCCGACAATACCCATGTTTGAACGTGTGTGCCCAGCGATCATAGTGAACATATGTATATGTAGGATAGATACTTTATTAGGACAGTGAGCTAAAATAAGTAGCTAAATTTGGGAGGACATGCTGGAGGGAGAAACGATACATCTTCCCTCGCCAAAGGTCAAGTGCTGACTGAGGGGGGAAAGCCCCCAGCCTCGTGACCCTGGGAAGTGGCCAGCAACGTGTCATGACATGTTCCCAGAGTAGACTCGCCCAGGATGGGGGAGGACTGTTGCGGCGACGCATTAGTGTTTAAAGAGACGGAGGATATTATTTTCTGTGAATACATTTAATTATGTTTTGTTAGGAAAATATTTTTATTGGCATGGTATTGGAATTGCAGATTTGTTTGGAAGGAGTTCATGGAGGAACTTCGAGGTTAGAGAAGAAGTTGATGGAGGAACTTCGAGGCTGGAGAAGAAGTGTATGCTGAACTCTGTGGTAGAGCAGAACTCCATAGTGAGAAGCTGCCTATCCTGATATTTTGGAGGACCTAGAGATATACATTGGTAGTGAGCCTCTACGAGCCAAACAGAGGTTCATGGTGGGCACACACAAGTGTATAAAGGGAGTGCTTGAATGCGTATTGGCATGTAAGACACAGTGTAAGGGGAGAGATTGATTTCTTCTTTTGTTGGGGGATACTTATATAGATATTTCTGGTGTTTTAGCCCCGAGTTGAGTTTCATATACTTTTAGAGCTGAGGATACAATACTGTTGTGACAGGATTTCAGCCCCATTTAGTGAGGGAGTAGTAAGTGGTAAGCTAAGAGCTGAGCAGCCACTTGATATGAACAGTTGGTGAAGCCTGGATATGATATCAAAAAGCTACTGGGTTGCAGCAGCTTAGAGTGTTGTATGATCATGTTCTATTTTATATGCTATATATTATGTATATTTTCTCAGTATATTAAATGTATATGTTAGCTGGCTTTTGATCTTGTCTTGGTGAAGTTTCCCAGAAAGGGAGAGAGATAGAGAGAGGGTCACGGCTGCATACAAGGTGGCAGAAGGTACTAATTCATGAAAGGTGGATTTAGGAGATCATTCCGATCAAGGTGAGAGTGGGAAGTCACGGCGGCTCGAGTAGGGTGTGTACACAAAACAACTAGACCAGTTTTGGC